GATGGCGGATATTGATTTCAGTTTCTGCAAGTGAAGTCCCATCCACTGAACTGTAATATGCTTGTAGGGTGAGTGGGTCCAACACCCTGGAATAATAATGAGCTAATACATGTAGTTCTAAAGATTTTAATGAAATATGACTTCCTGCTTATCGTGACGCAAAATTACGTCACGATAAGCAGGAAGTTAAACACTTAAATCCTTATTTCTCCCATCTCGGGGGAAAATAGGGGAATAAACCATGACCATTCAAAAATATGACTTGGTTTCTAAAAATACAAAGCTTAATGCAAATGGGTGAAGTGACCCTTTAATACAGTGTATAATTTTTTCTTGATTTACCCTGAAAGAAATGTTGAAATATGGCAACATGCCCCATAGGTGGGGTACATTGTAACATGTGAGGGCACATTGTGACATCACCATATGACCGCTTAAAATGCTATCTCATCTAATAAAAAATATAGTCAAACCACAATATTTTCTTAATAAAATACAATTATTAACTGTTAAAATAATGGCAGTTTTTAATAATTCAGATAATTAAAAAAATAACCACATTTTTGAGTTTGACTACAAACACACAGGAAAACACAGCTATACGGCATAGTTCAAAACAAAATAATAATTAATACTTTCTGAACATTGACTCTCAGTCTTTATTTACATGTTTTCTCAATATAATTCATAGAACTATAGCATATTTCTAAGGGGCACATTGTAACACAGTGTGACTGCACAACTGGGGTTTACACCCTGCTAGTGTCTTCTGCTTGTTAGCGAAACATTAAAGAACTATATCAACTGTTAAACAACAGATTGGATATTAAAATAATATCAGATTTGTCTAATTTCAAATAAACACAAAAAAGTGATGAAAAATGAACTTAAGTAGGAAATGTACTTTTGCTATGGTTAAATAAATGTTCAGTGATCTCTTACAAAGATCTCTGAATTTTGGCGAAAATTTTTCTCTGTATAATGTTGAAATGGCAACTAGTAAATACACGAAGTTTTGCCATGCTGGCATGTGGAAAGTGTGTTACAACTAGCCCTGCGTTACGTTGTACCCGCGTGCTCCCCTACAGTCAGGGTTAGGAAGGTTACTTTGGAAATGTAATTTCTCACTGTTATAAGTTACCCATTATAAATGTTGTTTAGATTCATTTATTTGGATTACTTTATCAATGTAAAGCAATTTCCTTTTAATTTGAAATTTCTTTCTTTTTTTTTTCTAAAGATTTACTAAAGTAATTCTGGGAAATGGTGTTACAATTGCAATAAATTAAACTTATTATTTGTTCTGTGACCTAGAGCTTTTTAACATTCATTGCTGGGGAAAAACATTGCTGGTAGTTCAAACTAATATAATTTATATAATATGTAATGCAATCATATGACATACTGTAAAGCTACATTGATAAACACTTCACTAAAAATATCTATATGAATTTCTTTGAATTTTATTGAATTGCAATTCTGCTTCCTTTAATTCAAATTCGAATTGTAATTCTAAATCCTTTTTTTGACATCAATTCAAATTTAATTCAAATTCTAGAATTGAATTGGAATTTAGTAGTCATTCTCAATTCAATTCTGAATTGTGCACAACAGCACAAGCCTGGTTCTTAGGCCATCAAAAACACAGTTGACGTGTAAATGAACGGCCAGAATGCATAAAAGTTTTGTATACAGTCATGTAAACAGCCCCTAAATTAATTATTAATAATTTTTACAACAGAAATGAATCAATGCTGAACTTACTTAAAAAAAGACAATGACTTGCTTCTAGATCTGCTATACAGACAAAACAATCTTTGTTACATTAATTTCCTGTTATCACTTTAAAGTTGCTTTAAAACAATCTGTACTCTGAAAAGCATTATATAAATAAAGGTGACTTGATATCAACCCGATAAATGTATTTGGCATTCATGTAAACACTACATTCGGATTCATCAATCGGAATGATTTCATTGAGATTGAAACAAAAAAGTGTCCATTTAAACGTAGCTTTTAGCCTGTTCATTCCAATTGACGTGGTTGCATGTGACTTTTTATTCAGACAGTGCTAGTAGTCAGAATATAATCGGATTATTAGGGTCCTTGTAGGCACAGTTGGCGCACCTGCGTACACTGACATAAGCATTTCAATATGAATTTTGTAACTTCATTTTTAAGTCATGTCACTAATCATGTATGTAAGTAACTGCTGCGATGTAAAACAATGTGTCATTGCAGTGGTGTTAAAGGCTGTTAAAGGTGTTAAGTAATTGGCTTTATGCACAGCTGCACTACTTCCTGAACTTCAGCCAACTCCTTGTTTCTTGTCTTCCATTATTGATCAAACTTGATTAATTCACACCTGAATGCCAAATCATTGAACTATGGTACAGGGGAAAATTGCAATCATATATTTAGGCTAATAATGCTGTTGGGAAATGCATTACTGATTGGTTGGATTTTTTACATTAATGCAATAAAAAAATGAGCAAACCTTTAATATGGAAGCTTATGTGTAGCATTATTCAATTTGAAATGTAATGTGCAAAATGACAATGCAATATGTAAAATGGCATTGCATTTTGTATTTAAATTTACATTTTACATTACCATTCTAGCAACGTTTGGTGCAAAATGAAATGACAATTTACATTTGCAATTTCATACACTAGTTTTAATATGCATATTGAAACGCTTTATAAGTGGCAAAATTAAAGTTCAAATTCAAATGCTATTTTTATTAATTGCATTTACACTCACAGTCAAGACACTCGCGATTGCATTTTCATGAAATGCCCCGCAATGGATGTAGCAAAATTCAATGTGCACATTGAAAATGCAATCCGAGCCGACCACGCCCCCTCCTGGCCTGTCAATCACTGCATCAAGGCGGGGCTCGGCTCGGTGTCGTGCTTTCCTTCCTGCAAGAAGGGTTGGAGCGTAGGCTGTCGCCCTCCACCCTTAAGGTTTACGTCGCGGCCATTGCCACGTCTCATGATGCAGTGAAAGGTAAGTCTATGGGGAAGCATGACCTGGTCATCAGGTTCCTGAGGGGAGCGAGGAGGCTAAATCCGCCTCGCCCTCCCCTCGTGCCCTCTTGGGACCTCTCAGTAGATCTAAGTGCTCTGCAGAGGCCTCCCCTGGAGCCTTTGCAATCGATAGAGTTAAGTCCTGTCCTATGTAGACAGCACTCCTGGTTGCATTGGCCTCCGTCAAGAGCGTAAGGGACCTGTACGCATTCTCCGTTGACGAAGCGTGCCTCGAGTTCGGGCCGGGTTACTCTCACGTGTTCTTGAGACCTCGGCCTGGATATGTGCCTAAGGTTCCTACTACTCCCTTCCGGGACCAGGTGGTGAACCTGCAAGCGCTGCCCCTGGAGGAGGCAGACCCAGCCTTGGCACTGCTCTGTCCGGTACGTTAGCTCCGCGCCTACGTTGACAGAACGCGTTGTTTCAGGACCTCAGACCAGCTCTTGTCTGTTATGGGGGGAGCCAGAAGGGGAAGGGCTCTCTCAAAGCAACGGCCGTCTCACTGGATAGTGGACGACATTGCTTTGGTTACCAACAGCAAGGTCGACCGTGCCCCCTTGGTGTGACGGCCCACTCCACTCGGAGTGTGGCTTCCTTTTGGGCTTTAGCGCATGGCGCCTCGCTAACAGACATCTGCAGAGCTGCAGGCTGGGCGACACCAAACACCTTCGCAAGATTCTTAATCTGCAAATAGAGCCGGTGTCCTCTCGCGTACTCACTCCTGCTAGTACTGGACCCGCTCAGGTGTCTTCGCTTGCTCGCCATTCCACTCCTCGGACTGGATAAGTGCGATATTCCTCAGTTGAGTCTTCCGTTGAAGCCCTGAGTCCTCCAGCACTCATGATGCGGGCACCACTGCGCTTGCTCTGGTGCCGGCTAGGTGCCTCCGTATGCACGGTTCCCTCCGGTAACTGTCACATGTGTATTATCCACTGTAAGCCTCTCTGAGCATGTGTCTTCCCTTGGCAAGCCATCTGCCACACCTGGAGCTAAGTTTCTAGCCACCCTTAGGTTGGTGCTCCAGTGATCTCCATATGTAGTCCCTAACACGGCCATATGTGTATTCTTAAGTCCTCCCTACGGTAGGCATTTGGTTGGATGTCCCTCCCGGGATATGTTTCCCAGTGTACCTTGATATTCCTGTATCAAAGTAGGTAACTCCTGTGTAAGTAAGCTAAGTAGGAGTCCAGACTTTCGCAGGGCACTGGAAGACAGCTATGAAGATGGCGTGATGGCATAGACCCCCATTCTCCATCACTCCTGACGTAACTCGGAGTGACTACGAAAGGGAACGTCTCGGTTACGGATGTAACCCTCGTTCCCTGAGTAGGGAACGGAGACGTTACGTCTCCTTGCCACTTCTGCTGTACCGCTGGGTAGACGCAGAGTTCAGTCTTGGCTCCTCAGCGAAGACATACTGCGGTTGCGTTCACTTCCTCCTTTTATACCCACGGGGTGGGGCGGAGTTACGCTATGTAAATTCCCGCAGCCCCAAGGCATTTTCATGCCATTGGCTCTTTATTAAATACTCGAAGAGGATTGGCTTTCTATGCGAAACCCCCATTCACCGTCACTCCTGACGTAACGTCTCCGTTCCCTACTCAGGGAACGAGGGTTACATCTGTAACCGAGACGTTTTTGCTTGAACATGTTACACATATCTAATCATTTCTGTAATGCATTTTCATTTTACCACTTATAAAGCGTTTCAATTATGCATATTAAAACTAGTGTATGAAATGGCAAATGTAAATTATGTCATTTTCATTTTGCACCAAACGTTGCTAGAATGATAATGTAAAATATAAATTTAAATACAAAATGCAATGCCATTTTACATATTGCATTGTCATTTTGCATATTACATTTCAAATTGAATAATGCTACACATAATTCCCCTTGGAGTTGATTATTTATTGGGATTCTCTAAAATACTTTGTGTCCTTCTTATTCTTGAAAATATTTTAGACTGACCTGACTGACAAGCTCAACATCCTTGAAGACAAAACTGACAAGAATCAGCAGGTTCTCACACAGATGAAGGAGCAACAAACCAAATTAAAAGTTAGTAAATATTAATTTTTATTTGGGTATTAACAGAATCAGACAGACTGATTCTGATGTAAGATGAAAGGATTCAAGATGTGCACGTCTCTTTACCTACCATCACGAATTACACTCTATCCATGCATCTCAAAATGTCAGAAGCTCCATAAGATGGAGTTTTAGACTTCGGGCTAACCTTTTCTTTGGTGTTGCTTTCCCAGGAATTAGCTACAACCCGCAAACGTATGCTTGAGGTAGAATACAGGCAGATCAGAGAAGCGATCGACCGTGATGAGAAAGAGGCAATGTTTGCTATTGATAAGGAACAGGAGAAAGGTCAGAGCAAACTGGTCTCCTTGATGAAGAAATTTAATGAGAACATCGAGAAGATGAATAGGACCAAATCTGAGATCAACACACTGTTGGACCAGTCGCAATCCATCACATTCTTAAAGGTGATCAATAGTATGATTTTAAATGAAAACCTTTCTGCTTTATATTTATATTTGTACCTTAGATATACATTTGCAATCAAAATGATTCAATCACTGCAAATCAGTTTTATTGGCAAAAATGTACAAACTTTCAGCTGTTTGTAATGAACAAATCAAACAAAAGTAATTCAACCTCTTCCTGGCAAGCATCTTTAGTACTTAGTAGAACACCCTTTTGCTGTTATGACCTACTGCAAACTAGATGTATAACCAGACACCAGCTTCTGGCAGCATTTCTGAGGAATCCAAGCCTATTCTTCATGAGCAATGGCCTCCAGTTCAGTAATAGTCTTGAGTTTGCGTGCTACAACTGCCTTCAAATCCCACCAGAGATTTTAAATGGGGTTCAAGTAAGTGATGGCCACTGTAGAATCTCCCAGGACTTCATCTGCAACCAATTCTTGGTGGAATTTGAAGTATGCATGGGATCATTGTCCCAACACTTGAAATGTTTGTTGTGTTGAGCTATTTCAATTATTTTTGTTTGATTTGTTCATCGCAAACTTGCTTAAAAAATGTTTCCAATAAACCTGGTTTGCAATAGGGATTGAATAATTTAATCACAACTGTATTTAATCAAATTTTGGTTGGTGGGGCATATGTGTGAAGCCCAGTGTAAGACCCTACTTGTTAAAGGGATAGTTCACTTTGAAATTAATTTTTGATATGTTTTAGCTTACCTCAAGGGTATCCAAGATGTAGGTGTCTTTGTTTCCACAGTATTTTCAATTTTGATATTTTTAGGTCAAACTGTTCTTGTCTATCATTCATATAATGGACGTTTATGGGGTCCACCCTGGGTTCACCTCAAAGAGCATGCACAGAGAAGTCCAAATTAAACATGATTTAATATCTCGTAAATGTAAGTACACATTGATGGCCTAAGACACACGAAATGAGCTGTTTTGTGAGAAAACGAACAGTATTTATATCGTTTTTACCTCTTGTAACCACAGCCACGTCCAAGTGATCTATAGGCACGGGCGCTTCGGTCTGCGCAAGCGCTGGAAAGCACTGGAAGTGATCTCGTGCGCGGTTGTGGAAAAAAAATCAACATTGTCTGTTGATATATCGAAATCGTCTTCCATTGCAATTTCCTGTATATCTAAATATGTTTAGATCTTCACAGTGAAGGATAACACTTCTGAAATCTCTGTGTAAACAATGAGTGACGTACACGTACGAGAGATCACTTCCGGGCCTTTCTGGCACTTGCTGGCGCGCTTGCACAGACAGAAGCGCCCTCGCCCTTAGAGTACTTGGACGTGACTGTGATTACAAGAGGTAAAAACGGTATTAATACTGTTCATTTTCTCATACAAACTGCTCATTTCGTGTTTTAGGCCATCAATGTGTACTTTCATTTACAAGTCATTAAATCATGTTTAATTTGGACTTCTCTTTGCATGCTCTTTGAGGTGAACCCAGGGTGGACCCCATAAACCTCCATTATATGACTGACAGACAAGAACGGTTTGACCTAAAAATATCAAAATTGAAAATACTGTGGAAACAAAGACACCTACATATTGGATGCCCTTGAGGTGCCCTTGAACTATCCCTTTAATTAAAAAAAATTAAAAAAATTAAACATGAGCTCTCACACTTATACCTAACCTGAATGTAACCTGAATGAAATGATGCCACATGTATATTTGGAGTCTTGAATTTCCCATTCTCTGTCACAGGCCTCTGTGGATTTGCCCTCAGTGGTAAATTTTGAGCCCCATAACCCTCGCATGACTGTTGAAAGTAAAGAGGTGATAGCTTACCATTCCTCTGCAGTTGCACTGAGGGATTGGATCACCAAATTAATGGAGCAGCCAACAGAGAACAGAATCTTTGTACTTAAACCAGGTGAGTTAGTTGGGAGCTTGTATAAAATGTGCAGCTTGTTTTAATGTCTGCAGTGAGTTCAAGAATACAGCAACATCATAGTGCTTGTTTAGAGTTCTGACATACATATTTTTACAGAGTTTGAAAAATCTGTTCTTGGTTCAGGTGAGATTGTCTTTTGAAATGGTTGAGGGAATGGTTGTGGAAATCTGGGACATAATCACATAAAAACATGTTAATACAAATTATTGTGTAGCCTGATTGTATATTGTTGAGGTTATCCTTAGTAAAGCTGCTGGCAGAAGATGTTAATTAGTCCTGTAATCCTCTAGGAAACCAATTCTCAATTCCTCCACTCCTGCCACATCCAAGAGAGTATCCAAGAGATTTTGCTGTGAGCCATGAGATGTGTAAGTTGGAGTAATACTTGCCTGAGCAAGAAGTAATCCTTTACAAGCAAATGAGCTGTTTTTTTTTCCCCGATTCAGTACATCCATCCATTTATCCATCCATCACTATTCTTTCATTATTCTCTTGATATATTTCAGCACGTATGAGTTCTCCCAGCCAAGCCTTCACCCCCAAAACCAAGGCTCAAGGAGCTAAACAGAAAAGTAAGTCAAGTGCATATATATACAGTGGGGCCAAAAAGTATTTAGTCAGCCACTGATTGTGCAAGTTCTCCTACTTAGAATGATGAGAGAGGTCTGTAATTTTCATCATAGGTACACTTTAACTATGAGAGACAAAAAAACAAAAAACAACGTTTCCTGTAAGTCTTCAACAGGTTTGCACACACTGTATGTGGTATTTTGGTCCATTCCTCCATGCAGATCTCCTCTAGACCAGTGATGTTTCGGGGCTGTCGCTGGGCAACATGGACTTTCAACTCCCTCCACAAATTTTCTGGGGTTGAGGTCTGGAGACTGGCTAGGTGAAATCTTGCTGGTTTGTGGGTGACCAAATACTTATTTTCCACCATAATTTACAAATAAATTCTTTAAAAATCCTACAATGTGATTTCCCGGATTTTTTTTTTTTCATTTTGTCTCTTATAGTTGAAGTGTACCTATGATGAAAATTAGAGACCTCTCTCATTATTCTAAGTAGGAGTAGGAGAATATAGTAGATATATGTATTTACACCTTTCTCTCATTGTTCTTTTTTCCTAATAGACAAGATTCCTAATAAAGAGCTTAAAGATCACAAAGAACGTAAAGACCAGAAGTCAAACAGTAAGCTCTGACCTCCATATGTTCATTGTTTTACAACTGTCTGTTACTGTTTGTTTGATTAGCGTCATGTGTGTAGAACATATTCATATCTAGTGATTGGACTGGAAAAGGAGGGGCCTTTGTTAGTATCTTATGGTGCACTGAGATATTATCATATTTTTTCTGAAAAGGAATGTGGATCAAATTATTATTTCTTTGAAATGTTTCTAACATTACATACATCTTCTTTGCCAGGATCCAGGAATCCCTCTAAAGGAATAAACCCTGCTTTCTCCAAAAGCATGGAGAACTTGCTTGACTTCACACCTAAAACTGTAGACATACCTGACATATGTATGTGGGAAAAGTTCTTGTTAAATTTCCCTTCTAAATGTAAACCTTTCTCTAAGGAGTCTGTGCTCCTCATTTTAATTCCAGAATAGACTTTAGATTCTACTCTAAAATCAATCAGTTAATCAATCAAAATTAATTAATCAATAGAAATATATCAGACCATTATTCAATTTGTATTATTTTATTGAATCTCCTAGAGGTTTGTTTCCTGTCAAAGACATAACTCACTATTAAGAATGCATTATTGGAGAAAATGAATTATAGATATATTATATATATATATGCAGTTTATTTAATGTAATTATCACAATGTAATTTCTCTATAACGAACATGACTCCTTAGGACTACTTCACTATCACAGGTCGAGAGCTGTAGCTCTTACTACACAAGTTAGCAATGTTGTTTTCAAATGTTCATTGAAAATCTGGTTTCAGGAAATGGCAAACACTCTGTTGGTAGCACCGAAACTTACAAAATGCTTGGTTTGTTATACTAATGCATTTATAAAATGAGCAAACCTTTTATTTTGGAGACAATTCTTTAGTTGTTGCTGAAAGGTATTTATTTCTTCTTTCTCTCTTTACAGCTCAGCCTCTAAGTTCACCGGCTGCGCAAAACTTTGTTAAAAGGAGTGAACTTCTTAAATGTGAGTAGATAGTTTCTCCCTGTTTCACAGACAAGACTTACGCCCAGTCCCAGACTAAAATGCATGTTTGAACTGAAAGCAACTTTCACTGACATATCTTAAAATATATCAGTGCCATTGTTTTGGCTCAAGATGCACACCAGTAATTTTTTTTTTTTTTAAAGGCATATTTATAAAATCTACTTTAATGCCCTAACTGTACTAAGGCCTAATCATGGCTTAATCTAAGCCCTGTCTGTGAAACCAGGCCTTAAAGGTCCTGTATTATGTATAAATGATTTTTATTAATGTAATCTCAGGTGAAAAAGACGTACAATTGTATTAAAAATGCATTACATTATATTTGTATTGTACTAAAAACATATTTAAGTACATTTTTAATACACTTAATTGTACGTCTTTTTCACCTGGGATGTGACGGCACATTCGTATTTCATATTTTCCTAACGTCTTGTACCTTTAAACATGTTATCATGTGGATGAATAATCATATGTAAATGAAATGCAGATGAGGACATGCGTAGTAAAACTAGGCGTTGAAATCTCCATATATGGTTATTTCGGGGAGGAGACGCATGTGCGCAGAATCTTCCGCTGACTGGGATTTATAAAGTGAATTCCGCACAGGTTCTGGCGTACGCACGGTTTTATAAGTCTGAATATTTTTTTGCGTACAACATTTTTGGCTTTCGGGCGTACGTACACTTTTAGTGAGGATTCTACGCACAGTTTTATAAATGAGGCCCCAGGTCCGAATGGTGATCAAACATATACTGATGAGGTTAATAAAGTTTATACCATGGTCTGGGTGAATACTCGATTCTGATTGGCTGCAGGGTGTCCGTTAAAAAGTGATAGAGGACACCTAGTAAAGTAGTTCTGGTGAAACTGCCTGTTTACCATTCGAAATGAATAAATAAATGCGCTGCCTACAACGGCTGTGAGTAACCATAGCAACAGGCAGTCACATGCTCTATCATCTAACATTAGATATTATAGCCTAATACAACAATGAGCGACTTCGTGCTATTTCTTTTAACATTTATGGAGAATATGGCAACTTTGACGACTGGTATACTGCTGAAGAAAGAAAAAATGTAAATAAAACGGAGAAAATTACACCGCTGCTGCTCTGCTCCATTGAACTCTATTGGTAACGACGTAACTTGCGACCATAGCACTAGTTGGATAACGATGCTTTCGGGAAACGCACCCCTGAATGAGACCCTGCGGGAGTTTTACGCAGCTGTCCAGACAACCAAGGCAGGAGAAGGCTGAACGTTACAGCGTTTCAAGCCTAAGGAGCCTGAGGCAAATGACCCTCTCTTTGATCTGATTAATTTATTGCCCTCTATAACGTTAAGCGCAAATCGCTGGAGATCAGAGCTAATTGTTTTTTTATTGTTGTTTGATTAATTGTTTTATGTGTAATAAAAAAAAAAAAAAACTATGCCTACCTTTGTGTTTCATGAAAAAAAAAATGCATTTGTGAACCTGAAGGGATACGAGCTAAGCGGACTATATCTCCGGTTGCTAAATAAACAGTCAGGCAGGCAAGGCAAGTTATTATTTGTAAAAAACTAGATTTAGCCTAATTAAAATATAAACTAATGTTTTATTTGGCAAGTGACCATGGTATAAGCGGGTTAATGCCCTCCGAGGTGTCCATTGTCAGGTTTTAATGGACTTCGGCGGAGGCAACCGTCCTCCGCTGCGCGTCGGCCGGTTTACGCCTCGCCGTCGTCCATTAAAACCTGACAATGGACACCTCGTCGGGCATTAACCCTTACGTATTGTACATCATGCAAAAGATGAAAGGTCAGTTTTACTTCAGAAAATCACAGTAAGAGCTGAGTAAACACAGTAAGTTATAAGAAGTGCGCAAGTTGAGGGAGTTGAGGGAGCATTCCTGTGGGCGGACGTTAGTCAAAAAACTGTTCTACTGACGTCATTAAATTAGGAAGTAGAGGGATGTAGTCCAAACCATAGATATCATATAGGTAGACGCCCTATCGGACGCTACAGCCTATTGGCACGGACGAGCCGTGGGGCCGCCATCTTAAACCGGTCATCCGCTCCGCTCAGTCTAATCTGTTTGGCAGGTGATATGGCTGTCAGCACATTTAATGAATCATATCTCACTGAATACAGAACTGATTTTCACGTTGGTTTTTTGTTGCAAAGGTCATACATGTAGCTATGACACAGGACACATGGGATATTTTATTCACAAAATACAAACATTAGTCAGGTAATGTTAAATGTTAAATCTCACTTGTGAAAAGTAATTCCCGAGTGATAGTCCGCCGATTTGAGCAAGAATATGCTGCACAGTGCTCTGTCATCTACTGCTGCTATGCAACACAATAGGAATACGACTGGTTTAAGATGGTGGCCGCATTTCTCAGTGCCCAGCGGCTAGGGTGACCACCCGTCCCGCGTAGCGCGTGCGCGCACAGCGTTTGAAGCCCAATTCATGCGTCCCGCAAATTGAGACCGTGTCACGCATAATCAATGCTTGCTCAAAAAAAAAAAAAAAAAAAAAAAGTCGGTCAGTCTATCTATATCCTCGAGACCCAGGCAGCCAAACGTTGTGCCTGAACTCGTTCACGTTCATGAACTCGTTCATATTTTGGGTGAACTGAACGTATTGTTTTACTGCCTGTCCTGATTAACGTGTGAACTCGTTCATTCTGGTGTCTGTGAACGCACGCTCTCTCAGTTTAACTTCGTTCAATGGGGTGCCAGATTTCCAGGCGAAAACACGGCTAAAACTCACCGTAAACAGGGCTTAATATGTTGCGAAAAAACACACAATCTGGCAACACAAGCCACCAGTGTCGCACCGAGGCCGCCGTCGACAAAGGCGTCATATGATAATTTAAACGGATTTTATAACGAGGTCGGTGAAGATGGGAAAAATCTTACATTTCTGTGCAAACTTTGGACTGAACTAGTTCGTTTTAAAATGTGTGAACTGAACTTTGAACTAGTTCAGAAAGTGAGAACTTCCCCAACACTGGTTGCCACTCCCACGTGACCTGCTGACTAGGTTGATGTCAACTTTTTCATTGTTGTCATGACAGCACACCTTGTCGTTCCGTGAACCTCTGGAGTTGTGAGTTTAGACTTTTTTTTCGACTTTTTAAAAAACTGTTCCTGTGGTGTTGAGCAACTTTAATTCCTGTTAATCCTATAATTTTATATTTTTATTTATTTAAAGTGAATTAATTGTAATGAAAAATAAATAAAATTAAATAGCTAAAGTAAATCGTAAGTGGAAGTGCATCTGTCAATTCATTTAATGTTCAAAATATGAATTTTATTTAGAAAAAAATACACATTGGTTGGCCTATTCATGAGCATATCAGCAATTACACATGTTTAGGGAATAGGGCATTATTAATGTATGTGCTACGGTATGTTTTTTTTTTTTTTTAATTATTCATGTACAAACAGTAAGGCAATAGTAACAATTCTAGATATGGGTAAACCACTATCAGAGTCTGCCCGTGGGGTGGGGGCACCGCCGCGCCAAGCAGTGTCCCACATTGTCCCTCAGAAACACACCCTTTGTCCCCCCTTGGGCTTATTAGCAGGTGGTCACCCTACCAGCGGCCAATAGGGCATACTCTCTATATTATATAAATGGTCCAAACAGGCTGTTCGATGTAGGCTACTACTGTTAAATAAAATATCTCGCTTGGCATTGAACTTTGAGCTTCATAATTTTACAGATATTATTTCTACTCCTAACAACAACATTACACACTAACTAAAGTTTGAAACATGGGATCACGAAGAACGGGACCTTTAATATTTTATCCAATTGTCCATCTTCATCACCTTGTGTGATAATCACATTTATGTGCTTGTTTTTCTCTCTTGTCCAGATGGCACTATCCTCAATTTTGATGTCAGAACAGCTCACAAGCGACTTTCCCTGTCTGAAAACAACACCAAAGCGACAGTTTCGGATGACCCTGTTAACTATCCAGATATTCCCCTTCGCTTTTCTGTCTGTTCCCAGGTGCTTTGCACAAAGGGTTTCTCTCAGGGCCGTCATTACTGGGAGATCAAAATGAGCAGTAACAACTTCTGTGGATTGGGCCTTGCATACGGAAGAATTGACCGCAAGGGTCCTGCTAGCCGCCTTGGGCGTAATGCAGAATCCTGGTGTGTGGAGTGGTTTAACATGAAGCTTTCCGCATGGCACAACAGCATTGAGACGGTGTTGGCAAATCCCAACCCAAGCCGTGTGGGCGTCCTGCTAGACTGCGATCAGGGAAGTGCAACTCTCTATAATGTGCAGGACCGGTCCTTCCCCTTCCACACCTTCGTCTTCCCTTTCACTGAGGCTGTTTATCCAGCTTTCTGGATCTTCTCAAATGGTTCTTCTGTGTCTCTGTGCAAGCTTAGCAACTGAAACTATGAGGTTAACTGTTATACATTTTTATTAATGGATGTTTTGTTCATCTTTGCGACGCAAAGAAGTTTCTTTTTGTAATTCTCTAATCATTTTGTCCATCCATTGAAAGTCCACACAAGCTTCAAGTTTATAAAAATATCCAGTGAGGATTGTTCTCGCATCAAAACCCTCAAAGCAAGCATATTTGAACTTGTTCATCAAGCATGATTGAGCTGCTGTTGACCGTATTAGATGCTATGTGTGTGTTGGATATTGTTATGTGAATAAAATCCTAAATTAAATTTGTTCAGCATATGAAGTGATAATTTCTCTTCAGAAGACTTGGATTAAACTGCTGGATTTATATGGATTACTTTAACGATGTCTTGAAGGTTGCCTTGACTTTAAATGGATGGACAAAAATATGCAAGTATATTATAAGTAAAAAATAAATCTTAATTTCTGTTGAATTAAAGGAAATCACAAGGGCGAGTAAATGAATACAGCACTTTCATTTATGGTGGAACTTTCCCTCTATTTTTTTATTACTATTATTATTAATTTGGTGTGTTTTATTATATGATTACAATATGGGTGTCTTTCAAAGGACCTTGGCAGACAATAAAGCCAGGGTTGTCATATTACATTTTTAATTCAAAATTTAGTATGTTGGGAACTTGGGATTGTACAGACTTTATAAAGCATACTTTGTAGTCTATAAATGTTCATTAATATCTTTTAATATTGACCAAAAAATTTTGATTGATGGGTGGACTACATAAAGCATATTATGTAGTCCATAAATGTTCATTAATATCTTTTAATATTGACCAAAAAAAAAAAAAATGATGGATGGATGGACATCTAAAGGCTAATACAGTCAAACTCATTATTGCAAAATAAACCTCACCAGAGTGTCAACCAGAATCGAGTATTACAAAAAGCCACAATAGTCATATGTCATCGATCCATTAAGAGGTAAATTCAGTGTACATAGGCTTGCAAATGTGATGTTCACTGTTCTCTGAAATCTGTTGTTGCAGATTTTAGGTGTGAGTTGTTTGAAGTGTTTAACTTCATAACATGATTACTCCTGACATTTGTTGGTTTTATCACATGGGCAAAGTCCATTGCTAGTGAGCTCCAGATAGAGTTGTCTTGGTTCCTGACCAAAGTATCCTGGCTTGCTCCAGTCAGAACTGTTTTTAAGTGTTTCATGTGAAGAATTAGTCCCTTCACATAAATTCTGACACATTTAATGTGTGACAAGTGGTCAGACAAAATAAAAATAGGTTTCACTTTGGAGTAAGGAAATATTTGTCTATAAAAATATTATAGATGTTTTTTTCTACAAGAATAGCTCAGTAAGTTCTGTAGTGAAGCATATTGTTTGATTTATGCAATATTAAAATTGTGGTTAATGTGGCATGTGAAATAATTAAATATTATGATTCAGAATTATGTCAATAAAGGCATGAACATACCAATGCTGAGTATATATGAGTACATTTAATATTGTGTAGATTTCTCTCATTGTCAGTTTTTATCTGACTTCTTGTGATATTAAGTTATGGGATGACTTGATCCTGCTTCTGAAATGGTGATTGTTTTTTCAACTCATTTTGTTTTCAATGCTGTACAATGAAATGTTCAATAATAATAATAATAATAAAAAACAAATCTTTAAACAAAAAATGTGTTCTGTTTTAATTAACTTTAAATAAATGATTTAGCTGAATCACCAACTTGTAATTTGATTCACAACAAATATACAAACAAGCCTACATTAAACACACTGCAGGAGAAACGTCTCGGTTACGTATGTAACCCTCGTTCCCTGAGTAGGGAACGGAGACGTTACATCGGATGACGGAGAATGGGGGTTTCGCCTAGAAAGCCAATCCTCTTCGAGTATTAAAAAACGAGCCAATGGCAAAGAAATGCCATGGGTCTTCGGAATTTGCATAGCATATCTCCGCCTCACCCCGTGAGTATAAAAGGAGGAAGTGGACGCAACCGCAGTATGTCTTCGCTGAGGAGCCGAGACTGAACTCAGGCGTCTACCCAGCGGTACAGCGGAAGTGGCAGGGAGGCGTTCCATTTCGTAATCTCTCCGAGTTACGTCGGATGACGGAGAATGGGGGGTCCCCGTGTAATCACGCCACCTTCACAGCTGTCTTCCAGTGCCCTGCGCAAGTCTGAACCCCTGTCGCACTTAGCTTACTGACGAGGAGTCCTACTTGACACAGGAATACCAAGGTACACTGGGGAGCATATCCCAGGGGAATATGCCGCAGTATGCCAACCGTAGGGAGGACTTACGAAAACACATATGGCCCCGTGGGGCTCCATATGGAGGATACTGGAGTGACCAACCCGAAGGGTGGCTAGAATCTTAACTCCAGGGGTGGCAAGGTGGCTTGCCGAGGGAAGACACATGCTCAGAGAGGGTTACAGTGGAGAATACACATGTGGAGGTTACAGCAGGAACCATGCACACGGAGGCACCTAGCCGACACTCAGGCAACAGACACTGGCGCCAGCATCAACAGTGCTGGAGGACTCAGGGCTTCAACGGAAGGCTCAGCTGAGAAGAATTCGCACCTATCCAGTCCGTGGATTGGAGTGGCGAGCAAGCGAAGACACCTGAGCGGGTCCAGTACTGGCCGGTTGAGCGAGTACAAGAGAGGACACATGCTCCACTCGGAGGTTATAGAATCTCGCAAATGTGTTAGGTGTCGCCCAGCCTGCAGCTCTGCAGATGTCTGCTAGCGAGGCGCCATGCGCTAGAGCCCAAGAGGAAGCCACACTCTGGGTGGAGTGGGCCGTCACACCAAAGGGGCACGGTCGACCTTGCTGCTGGTCAGCCAAAGCGATGCTGTCCACTATCCAGTGAGACAGCCGCTGCTTTGAGAGAGCCCTTCCCTTCTGGCTCCCACCATAACAAACAAAGAGCTGGTCTGAGGTCCTGAAACACCGCGTTCTGTCTACGTAAGCCCGGAGGGCACGTATTGGACAGAGCAGTGCCAAGGCTGGGTCTGCCTCTTCCAGGGGCAGTGCTTGCAGCTTCACCACCTGGTCCCAAAAGGGAGTGGTGGGAACCTTGGGCACATATCCAGGCCGGGGTCTCAGGATCACGTGAGAGTAAGCCGGCCTGAATTCCAGGCAGGCTTCATCAACAGAGAATGTGTGCAGGTCTCCTACCCTCTTGATGGAGGCCAGTGCAACCAGGAGCACTGTCTTCATTGACAGGAACTTAATCTCAACTGATTGCAGAGACTCGAAGGGAGGCCTCTGCAGGGCACTTAAAACCACTGAGAGATCCCAAGAGGGTACGAGAGGAGGGCGAGGAGGATTCAGTCTCCTCGCTCCCCTCAGGAACCTGATGATCAGATCATGCTTCCCCAACGACTTACCTTCGACTGCTTCATGAAATGCGGCAATTGCAGCCACATAAACTGTCAGGGTGGAGGGAGACAGCCTTCGCTCCAACCCTTCTTGCAGGAAGGAAAGCACGACACTGATTGAGCATCTCCGGGGGTCTTCTTGGCGAGAAGAGCACCAGTTGACGAAGAGGTTCCACTTCAACGCATAGACGTGTCTGGTGGACGACGCTTTAGCGGAAGTGATGGTAGCCGCCACCGTAGGTGGCAGGGTACTCAAACCTGCCTCATCCCATCCAGGAGCCACACGCGTAGCCTCCACAGATCGGGACGAGGGTGCCACAGGGTGCCCCGTCTCTGAGAGAGGAGGTCCTTCCTCAGAGGAATAGGCCAAGGAGGTGCTGTCGCGAGGAGTACCAGTTCGGAGAACCAGGTCTTGGTGGGCCAATATGGGGTTAGACAAGACCTGCTCCTCGTCCTCCTTGATCTTGCACAGAGTACGTGCGAGAAGGCTCACTGGGGGAAACGCATACTTGCGTAGGCCCCGTGGCCAGCTGTGCGCCAAGGTGTCTGTGCCGAGCGTGCCCTCGGTCATAGAGTAAAACAGGGCGCAATGGGATGAGTCGTGGGAAGCGAACAGATCTCTCTGTGCGTCCCCGAACTGGTCCCATATCAGCTGGACCGACTGGGGATGGAGTCGCCATTCACCAGAGACTGGACAGAACCGCGACAGCTCGTCGGCTGCCAGGTTCCGCTCTCCTGGAATGTAAATAGCACGAAGGGACCTCAGGTGCTTCTGACTCCATAATAGGAGGTGGCGTGCGAGTTGTGACATCCAACGTGAGCGTAGACCACCCTGACGGTTGATGTACGCTACTGTTGCGGTATTGTCTGAATGGACTTGTACGTGTTGACCCCTGAGCAGCGCTCGAAAGCTGTGCAGGGCAAGGCGTACTGCCAGCAACTCGAGGCAATTGGGTTCTGTCCAGGAACCCGCGGCTGCATGAGAATTGCACATGGCTCCCCAACCCATGGCAGATGCATCTGTGGAGACAACAACATGTCTGGAAACTCGCTGCAGAGGGACACCGGTCCGCAAGAAGCTGAGGTTTGTCCACGGGAAGAAGGTTTGACGGCAGGTCGGAGTTACTGGAACTCTGAGCGTACCGCGATGCCATGCCCACCTCGGTACTTGATCGCGAAGCCACAGCTGAAGCGGTCTCATATGAAGCAATCTGAACGGTGTTGCCGCGGCTGCGGATGCCATATGCCCCAGGAGCCTCTGAAAGTTTCAGTGGGACCGCACTCTTGCCCTCGAACTGTCGAAGACAAGTCAGCAGTGAGTGTGCGCGCTCGCTCGTGAGCTGCGCGGACAGGGTGACCGAGTCTATCTCCATACCGAGAAAAGAGATCCTCTGCACGGGGCAAAGTTTGCTCTTCTCCCAGTTGACCCGAAGGCCCAGACGGGTTCGGTGCCGGAGCACAAGGTCTCTGTGTTCGCAAACCTGATCTCGAGAGTGTGCTAGAAACAGCCAATCGTCGAGGTAATTGAGGAATGCGAACCCCGTGTTCGCTAATGCCGAGTTCAGACTGCATGATTTTAGCCACGATTTTGGCTCGCCGACAGGTTTTGAGAAATCGCCGACAAATGCCCGAAATCACAGGCAAATCGGCGCTCGTTCACGCGAGTGACAATCACGCAGTGTGAATGAGCAAAGACGCGAACTGAGAGAATCACCGACGAGTCGCCGACGCCCGTGAGATATTTGGCATGCTAAATATCTGGACCTGTCGGCGATTCAAAATCCTGCTGTGTGAAAAGTGTTTTGACTGAAAACTACATCGGCGATCACCGGCAGCCAGTGAGAGAGCAAGATACAGAGCAGCAGGGAGTTCGGGGAGGAGTTATAGATCACATATCAACATGATATGGCATTGTTTCAACAAAAAAAGCTTCTTCTCGGTCTATTTGGACACAATAAATGGAAGAAAAATTAGTAGAAATTTGGCAGGAGCACTCGTGTCTGTTTCACCAGCTGTACCACAACTGGGTCGAAAAAAAAAAGTCTCACGTGAGAACTCCGGTCTTGCACGCGTGGTGTCGCGCGTTGTTTCCTTTTCATATCTCACGCGTGTTTGTTGTGAAATGTAGTTTGCGTGCAGCGTGCTAGACGGAGTCTGTCGGCGATTTTTCTAAAGTCATGCAGTGTGAAACCTTCTGTCGCCGATCCATCGTCCAGTGTGAACACAGCAGCGACTGAATGCTGGCCAAGATAGTCATGCAGTGTGAAAAGAGCAGCGACCTGACTACTTTGAAAATCGTGCAGTCTGAAAGAGCCATAAGGGGAACAAGGCCTGCCTCGACAAGCTTCGTAAAGACGCGAGGGGACAGAGCCAACCCGAATGGGAGAACCATGTACTGATATGGCTGTCCCCCGAAAGCAAACCGAAGAAACGGTCTGTCGAGGTAAGATGGAGACATGAAAGTACACGGCCTTCAGGTCCATCGCTGCAAACCAATCCGAGGACAGCAGCACAGACGAGCCATCTCCAGAGGACTCCAGCTCACCTTGTGATGCGGCGATAAACATGATTTCATCAGCTGGGGGAACAAATAAGAACGCGGGCGGGCACCGCCCACTCACTCTGGACCACGTGGGTTGCAAAGTGAAAGACGGGGTGTGGACCGAGGAATTTTCGTCGGTTTAGTTCCAGACCTGACGACTTTTGGTTACCCTGGCCACTAGCCGAAGTATTATCTCACATGGAGAAAAATAGTTCGGGTAGTGGATGAGGGGACTCACTCTAGCTCACTGAGTCTCAACCGTTATACATTGCGATGATCACGTCCCCACTGAGAGAACGTGACACACCCACGAGCGCTGTC